ATTTGGCAGCCACAATGTATTTATGATGGTTGTAGCATTGTGAGGATTATTTATACACAATTTTCCCAGCCCGTTTCTGACAACAAAGTCAATGGGGGAAGGTGAATTTCCTTAATGACTGCATGATTCACTTAACAACTGCAGTGATTGCTTAACAACCACAGCAAAAAAAAGAAAGGTTGTAGCAACAGAAATTCTGGTCCCTTATTATGGTTATAAGCCAAGGATTCCCTGTATATACTCTGTGCTTATTTTGGACTTAAGCCTTGTTTTTCTCCTCATTGTTTTGTTAATAGATCCGGCCTATTTTTGTCAAGGTCAACTTCTTTACTCTCTACACCGGTAACAGCTCTCCATGAGGCTTAGACATTTCCTTAAATATATGCCATAATAAATTGCTGTTCCACAATCCATCTGGAAAATATAATATTTCTCAGAGAAATGCCATGAATTGATAGAATCGGCCAATTTCATAGAGCCTGTCTTAAAAAATTTGTCAGGGGAAAGTGTGATGCCTGAATTCTTCCTTCGGACTAGATCCAACCCAGTCTGGGATCTGAACCACAGCAAAGCCTATCAAATCATACAGTCAACAATGAGCCAAGTCCTGTCCATGCCTGGTGACCACTACATATGGAAATTGCTTCCACTGTGCAAACATTTCATATTGCTTGCATGCCATGAGGGAGATCTGAATGCTATTCCTTTCGAATATATCTCTTCTTTAGATGGGTTCTTTGGGAAGAAAATTAAGAGTTATAGATATGAATCAAAATCGAAGAGCAAGAAACAAGCCCTTCTCTTTCTAAATGATGACAGAAAAATGAGACAGGAAGGGTGAGAGCAGATAAGACTGTCAAATACATCTTGAAATGCTGGCAAGGAACAGGAGACTGTCTGAGTCAGTCAGACTTTTCCTAAAGCCAAGTGTGTCCACCCATCAATCTGCACAGCCCACAAAATGTCATGAGCAACAACTATCCTGTAAAAACGGGTGGCGAGAAAATGGTTCTGTCTTTGTGCAGTCAAGCCAAGGCTGCAGTGATAGATGAGATGCAAAACAAAACTCATTGCTGATTTTCTAACGAGGAGGGAGAAATCCTTCAGATTTCCAACTTCCTATACAGTAATCTAGCAAATACCAAACCTGCACTGATTGGATGTCATCATTAGACTGGATACGTTTACCAAAGGACTATTTCTCACTGGTTCATGTTTCTGAGCAACAGATTGGATAATTGTTATCATTTCATGAAGCCTTCCTGAACATTTCTGCTGTAGTACAGTGTCCCAGAAAACGGATCTTTTACAAGAAGCTTTTGCTTTATTTATTTATCATTTTACTAATTAGACTTACAGCTTTCCTCTGCAAATTTCACTTTTGTTTCTCCATAATTTCTTTCGGTAGTCTGAGATACAATAACTGCTACCAAATTACTAAATAAATTTCCATGGTTGAGGATAAACTTGAACCTGGATCTCCCTGGTCCAAGTACAACACCTTAATTACTACACTGCATTGACTAAAAAGGGTTTAGACCATTGGTTTCTCCCAGTTGTAAAGCTGGCATTATCTGATATCCTCCAGATGTTTAGAATTAATTTCATCGTTCTCAGTATACACAGCCAATGGTCAAGGATACTGGGATCAAAATATTCAGAGGACACCATGGTGTCTATCTTGTTCTATATGTTCCAGGTCAAGTTAAAACTTCAGAATATAAAAACTAGTTTACATTTCTTAGACTATGCATTGCACAGTCAATTGGCAAACAGCAGTACTAAGTCTAATTTGAGATCATTATTTGATTGGCAATGCTGAATTTCTGAGAAAGTAATATTATAAATCAGTACTCCAAGTTTGGTTTGAGAATTGGATGTGATACTTTTTAATGTGCTTCTGGTGATTCAAAGGTTTGGAACTGTTTATTTTGAACAGGAAAGTACATATTATGGAAATGGAGGAGACAAATTGCTAGTTGACAATGATCTTGCATTTGAAGCAATGTTTCAATAAAATAATATTAAATCAGATAATTAGAACAGCTCCATTACATTATTTAGAATTATACTTACTTGAAAAAGTCAGTATTCTTCATCTTCTATTTTGAAGAAGAGCTCCAGAATTTTTATTAATAAGTTCAATTTGTGAATTCTTACTTTCCCCTCCTGTTCAGCCAAATGATTTGTAATCTTAGATGACAAAGATCTAATATTACACATCTGGAAAGTATAAATTCGAAGAAAGCTGTAATATTGCATTTGCACACAATTTTAAGTACCCATTTGATATGTCATCAGTACAAAGTAATTATCAAGAAAAATGTATAGATAAAAGCAGATATAGTTTTTATTTTTAATGAAAAATTGAATCTTTCAGATTTGCAGTTTGCTGAAATTGTGGGCAGGAAAATCATGTTTCTTATATTCAACTCCCTCCCATTCAAAAGTAGCCAAGAGTCTTGTTTTATGCTTTTCTTTCTTTTTTAGAAACTGCCTAGGATGGTTAACAGCTGTTCTTTGTGAAGCGATTTGAATCATAAGCTATATTTCATCAGTCTCCAATTTAAAAGTCTCTGTAAGAAATTATGGTGTTTTTTTTCTGAAATAAGTTGGAGACAAAATACTATTGTTCAAATGGTAATATAGCTCATGAAGAGACCACTTTCTGCCAGCTGGGCTGCTAGCAAGGAGGACCATTCAGTTATCTTCTCCAGATGTTAGTTTTCCAAACTAGAAATGACTTTTTGTAAGATTTGTTTAATTTGACCTTGCTACAAATACATAGCATTAAGAGGTAAATATTGACATCATAGAAAGTAAAACCTTTTTTTTTTGGCCCCCATGGTTTCCAGACAATACAAAAGTGGCTGTAGATATAGAGAGAATTGCACTTGTTTTAAATGTACAAACTCTTTGGGAATTGAAATTCCAAAAATACAGCAGACACCTATAATTATCTTCCTAATGGCAACCATTCATAAGACAATTATTGGTATGATATAGATATTCCTGCATCAGGAATCTGATTAATCCACCTAAATTAAATTAATATATTTCTTCTTAGGCTATTATTTTATGCAGCTGATCCAAAAAGAATCCTTGAACTGCATGCTTTTAAGGTGCCAGAAAATTCTTTGTTGTGTATACCTGAAAGAAGTGTTAATCTTAGCTTTGTGAAGATGAATTGCAAACTGCTTGAGACCATTTAAGTCAGAACTCACTTCAAGTAACAAATACCTCTAGAAGACCTACAGGTCAGACATGAAAGATCAAATCCACACATGAAGGTCCAGTTAAATCAGTTTATTGCTAATCATGCCTATGCACAGGAATCTTCTCAACTAACGGTGAGCATCTGCTTGGCGTTAGATAAGGATCAACAGAATTCAGGGGAGGTTGGACTTAGTTCAGTTGTGCCTACATAGGGATTCTAGGCTTATCCCTCTTTTAATTCTGCCCCCAGGTTCTCCCACTCCTTAGAATTTAGAGATTTAATATTGCTTCTGTTAAAGGAAGTGTTGTCAATTAAAGTCATTTATAGATCTAAAAGTCAGAGCATGGATCTGCACATATTGGAAAAAAATTAAATGGGTTGCTCCTTGGATGAGAAACCACCAAAAACCGTCTAGAACAGTGTTTCTCAAACTTGGCAGGTTGAAGATGTCTGGAATTTAACTACCAGAATTACCCAACCCGCATGACTGTCCATGGAATTCTGGGAGTTGAAGTCTACACATGTTCAAGTTGTCAACATTGAGGAAACATTGCTCTAGTCTGTAGACAGTAATCTATATTCTAAGATGTAGATTAGACTGGGAAGTTTCAAACAAAGACCAGAAGGTGATAGTGGCAAATAATTTCTGTTTTGTTGGCAAAACCACAATCCAATTGAAGGTATACAGTATTGACTCATGAGTGACTTTCTATTTTTATAGCTGTCAATAGGCTTATCCTTCGTTAATTGAACCAATCCAACATTTTTGTTAAAAGCCTCAGAGCAATTAATTTCACAATTTGGGGTGGGGTGGGAATTTTTTTGATTTCTATTACATTTATAATATATGAAAAAAAATGTAATTATGAAGTAAATGTATGTGAGTAATCCAAATTCTTATGATAGGATAATATGTTCTTTATTATTTCCTTTATTAATTTTAATCTTAAAAATACTATTATGCTTCCAGCTTCATATACCCCACCCCCAAATCAGTAACAGATGAAAAAACAGGAAACCTTATTCTACTTTGTAATGTTATAACATTACCACCACACCACTTGCCCCTACTACAGTCACTCCTTCCCCCTACTACATATGTTTCCCCTACCACCACATATTATATTCTTGTAGGAAAAGATGGGCACACAATTTTAGACATGACTGGAAAAGAAGAATTACATGCCTAATAAAACACTCTTGAACACTCTTTTATTAAATCAAAGTAATTTCACACAGCATATTAATAGAAAATTCAATGCATGTACTTCATACACAGATCACATCAAGTCAAAGTCAAAACAAATCGCAAACAATCTGGAGTAGTGTTATATACAAATCGAAATGAGACATCTGAAGTGTGGGGAAATGATCATTTACTTGAGAAACAAGAATGTGTTAAAAAGTTGATTCAGGATAACATTTCTTGTTGGCATACTATCTCACAGAGTCATTTTCCTTTGTCTGATGCTTGTTCATTGCATTTTTTTCTGTTTGCTTTCTACTATTGTGCTTATTATATTACATTTCTTACTTTTTTTTAGCTTTAATTTTCTAAAGGAAACAAGACTTGTGACACGTATATTCTAACTTCACAATCACACACAACTCAGATCTTTTCTTCTGTTAAAACTCCACTGAAGAGTAGAAAAATGGTTGTTGTCTTCAGCAGATTGACTTCAAAAATATAACTATCTACCATGTCTACATAGAATGGGACATGTGTATATGTACACAAACAGTGTTCCTGTTAAGGAATGAGAACACTTTGAGTAAAGACACTTTTCTGAAAATCCTTTTAAGCAGTGTTTTTTTTTTAAATGCTTCCCTATTCCGAAGTCCTAAAAACATATTATTCTAGTACCCTGCAGAACTGATATTTCTTCAGCCTACAGAAACCTCAACGGATGATGTTCTTTTTCTATGGACCTACAGCTACACTTTTATTTCTGATTGTGGCTTGTTGCACATCTCACCAGCCACGGGGCCAGTCACTTTTTTTCAGCAGGCTGTTGGAGGCAGAGTTCAGTTCCAGAAGAGACAATGGGTAAATTGTACTCAAGATGATGCTTGATCAGGTGGCTAATGCTATCAAAGGTACGATCCTTTGTACGAATCTGAAAATAAGAAAGGAGATGCAATCATATCATTTGCCAGATTTGATGATGCTTAACTGAAGGTCCCAGCCAGGTATAACAATACATTCATATGAATTCAATAGGTATGGCAGTCTGGAAAATTATACAGTTTGGAAAGTCAGGCTGTGAGAAGACCAACCAAATTAGTGAGGAAACAACTTCAAAATGAACCTATTTCTTTGGTCTGTACCTATTTCTTTAACTACCAAGCTTGATTCTACTAAACTAAAACCCAATATAAAAATATTATACTACAGTCGTGGAAAAAGACTACTTTTCATCATTTGTATATTTCTTTGCAAAGTTTTAATGTCCAACTTAAATAATGTAAATAATGAGCAAATACATGGATCACATTGTGAATGTGGAGACTAAAATTAAATTGAAGCTCTGGGAGATTCTTTAAGAGCTCACATCCAAATTTAGGAATTGGGGTGTTTAACAGAGCGGCAAATTATTTGAGCAGAAAAACCAAAATTGTACTTCTAAAATGTGGCATGTTTCCTCTCTTTATGAAGCATCTCCCTGCTTTGCAACCTCAGCCTAATATAGCCTCATTGATGTGGTGAGAATAATCTTTGACTGTCCTCTGCTGTTCAAACATGAAAGTTACACATATTATTTCTTGGTTCTTCATCAAGAATCAGAGACCAGCCTATAAATTAGTAGAGAAATTTAGAGGCCATGAAAAGGGTGATGCATCCTACTGACGTTTTATCGGCACTAGGGATTATACAGAATCATCCTTTCTACTATATCAAGACCAAAAAAACACTTTTTCCCCTTCTCTTTCCTGATGGGAAAGCAATTCCCTCCTAAATTAAGGTGGATCCAAGCTTTATCAGAGATGGCTTCCAGGGAATGTGGCTCAACAGGTTCATATGGAAAGTTACTCAGTTTTGAAAGAAATTGGCTAGGAACTAGAAGTAGATCTGCTGGTGCATTGTTGGAATAGAGATTTATTTGCAAATAAAACTGATTCCACAGGAAGAACCAGCAGAGTTCTTTTTTCCCTTTCAGAAGAAAATGATTCCATGTACAATCTAGCTAGTTATGCTGATCACTTGAAATGAATTTGATACATACGTCAAAATCATTTCATCTGACACATGAATTGCTAAAGGGATCCGAAACATTACATCAGTTTATTTGCCCCTAGATTGCTTTGGAGAGATCCAACCATCTTTCAGGCCTTAACAAGGCCTTAAACAAGGCTCCAACTCTTCTTCCATAAATATGAAAGAGTTAGTGGAACAGGTGTCGACTTTATGTTGAGTTCTCTGATACTGACTGGGGAATTTCTTCACAAACTTTGCCTTCAGACATGAGAAAACAATGCCATCTGCTATTCTGAGTGTCTGTGTTCCTGTCACTCTTCTTCTAGAAAGTTCTCTTAGAATGAGAATCGACAAAGAGAAACCATTCTCCTGTTGTTCTGCTACTGTTGTTGATTGAGAGTGGATAGGGAGAGTTCATGGTTTCATCTACAAGAAGAGGATATTACTGGAATAGAAAATTCCATCATCCAGTGCCCTCCAAGCCCTACTCTTCAGACAATGAACAATGTCATCAGCTAAGCCTGAGCCTTGCAGTAGAGATAAGGATGAGAAAAAGGCAAACCTTCAACCAGGGGAGGGCTGCTGGGGGTTTGCAGGGGTTCAGGAGAACCTCTAGCTAAGATTCTGTGCAGTTTGAAGAACCCCCAAATCTCACTCCTGGCTGGCCCCACCCAGCCCCTCCCATGAGTCCCCACACGGCGTGTTTTGGATGCAGGTAAGGGTACATGAGGAGGCTCTGGGAGGGCAAAAACTGGGCCTACCAGATGTACTGGAGGGCCTCCAGAGCCTGGGGAGTCCGCTTTCATCCTCCTGGAGGCTCGAGAAAAGCCTCTGGAGCCGGGGAGGGGAAAAACACCCCCCTCGGCCCACCGTGGTGCAGGAGGCCAAGTAGGCTATGCCCAACATGTCCACATCCACCCAGCAACCAGGCAGAGAACCCCTTGCTAAAAATTTTGAAGCCCACCCCTGCCTTCAACCAAGAACTATATAGATTGTTTTGCATGGGAGTACTTTTAGCAGCCAAAAAATGGCATCTGGACCATCAGGTTCAAGCCTAAATTCAGGATAGGAGTCCAAACTTTACATCCAAAACCTGGAGCAAGAGAGAATGACCTTATTCTTTGCAACATCATCTCAAGTAAGCATATCCCTCCTTAGATGTTCTCAACGCTAAGCACGGCTAATTATGGCAAACGATCATCGTAGGGCTTGATTTTTAGTACCCTGATTGTTCCCTTCTCCAAGCCTCAATCCATCTTAGAGCACCTAGTTCAGAAATATTTCAGGCTGCATCTCATCAAAGTACATTATGATAGAATGATTTTTTTAATGATTTGGAAATGATTCAAAAAGAAAAGAGATAATCGGATGAAGAGTGAACTCTTGCAATTTTTAAGATCTTGGTTATTTCATATCCTTCCCAGAAGAGACTTCTCTTGCCAATAAACCATACCAACTAGCCCTGCCAGTTAAGTAAAGAACTGGGTTTTTAAAAAGGTTTCATTTTGAAATTGGAATATAATATTCTTTGCTGTAGTTCCACATCACTGTGTTGGCTTTTGGATAGGCAATTCGGGGTTATCAGGAGCTGCGGTGGTACAGTGGTTAGAATGCAGTACCGCAGGCTACTTCTGCTGACTATCTGCTGCCTGCAATTTGGCAGATTGAATCTCAACAGGCTCAAGGTTGACTCAGCCTTCCATCCTTTCGAGTCGGTAAAATGAGGACTCAGATTGTTGGGGGTAATATGCTGACTCTGTAAACCGCTTAGAAAGGGCTGTGGATGGTGCACCGTGAAGCAGTATATAAATTTAAGTGCTACTGCTATTGCTATTAGACTGCCTTGTCCTTCTCTTGCTGTCTTACCTGAAAAGAAATTGCAGAGGTAATGTCTCAAAACATTATTGAGGTGAAATCCTTCAGGTTATTAAGCTGAACTTTTGTAGCATCACTCTCCCTTAAAGATCTGTCCCACATTTCATTTTAATCCCATTCGTCCCCCCCACCCCCATGAAGCAGTTGAAGATATTATGATGCTTATGGTTGAAACTTTTATTGAGTCATATCCTGCTGAACTGAATCACACTGCCTATAGATTTCAAAATGAATCAAATGAATCAAAATGAATCAAATCACACAACTATTGAATCTCGGATTTTCTATCAGAATTAAATTGAGGCTGATTTGCACACACCAAATACTTAATGTGTTGGTATCCCTCAAGAAGCAGGACTTCTCTGCAGTGGGTTTCGTTAAGCTGAAGCTTAAAATTGCCCTGGTCCCTAAGATATAATTCTCTATTGCTCTGAATATTGTATTGCACCACCACAAGTTAAGTGTGAATCAGTCTGCTTTAATGATGAAAACAGATAGTGCAGAAGGCTGGGTCTCTACAACCTAAAGTAAAAAAGGTCTCTCTCCTTAGGATCACATACTTACAACTCCTTCAGGATCTACCAACAGAAGATGTTTGGCTTGTCCATTCTGTAATCCAGTGAGTACATAGGATCCTGGATTGGAGGTACTTTTCCTAACCAGAAAGTCTCCACTTTTCTTTAAGAGCTGTTCTGCTTCTTTCCTGGTCATTTTTCCTTGATACCAGGGCTCTGTGCTCAGTTCTTCAGCTGCAGCTGCTCCACTTGCTCTGGAAAGGAGAGGACTGGTACATTCAACTGAGGTAGCCTTATTCAAAACAGGCCCTGGCATTTGATTCTTGAGAGCATCTTCGAAAGGGCCTGGTAAACAGAGGAAATAACAGAGAGAAATTAGCAACAATTTATGCCATCCAAATTCCTAATCCCCCCCTATATACTGTGCTCAGGAAAGAGATCTGGATAAATTGCAACTATCATTCTCTTCCACTGAGACCGAGGGATCTTAAACCAGCTTAATTTGAATGGGTTGTCCTACTGCATGTGAAAAATTTCTGAACTTTTCTAGTTAATTCAGTTGGATAGAAAAGAAAATATATTTAACTTTTTTCCAAAACTAAATACATTTCAATATAATTTTTATGAATAACATTAGCATGTTTCTGTACTAATTTAGTTTAAAAGTGATCAAAGGGCTCTTCAGGTTAAAAGTTGGGTCAAAGAGAAGCTGTGGGATGATGGAGTGATATGTAATAAAAGAATAACAGCAAGCCTATTACCTTAGCAGAGGAAATAAATTTTAAAAAGCAAGAAATTCCTAGATGTTTTCAAGCATCACTTTCTTGACACTGTCTAACAGGAGGGATAAGAACTAAGGTCCAATCTCAACCTGCAGTCCAGGAGGGTCTCATGATTGTTGATATTCAAAGCCTTGAAGATGTTCAAGAGAACTAGTCACATATATTTCTATCCATTTTCTAGCACAAAGTCATTCCCTTAGGCAATTTAATCATCCAGGAGATGTACTGAGTAGGTAAGCAAATGATAGCCCAGCTCTTCACATACTCCATTCCTATCAAGGAAGGAAGGAAGGAAGGAAGGANTTTGGAACCTCTTCTGTAGGTGTGTCCTGCTTTCCGGGTCCACTGGTGGAACCTCTTCTAACTGGTTCGGTAGATTTGATGAACCGGTTCTACTGAATAGGTGCGAACTGGTAGGAACCCACCTCTGGCCCGAACCAATCCAAACTGGCTGAATACCACCTATGAATGTAGCATACTGAATTAAAAACAAACATATAGAGCAACAAACACATATAGAAAAGAAGATCATAATGGTGGAAAAACTTCTACTAAAATCATATAAAACCCATCATCTAAAGTGTCACATCCTACCCTAGCCAGGGGCTGGGAAATCTCTCTTGTCCCCTCTCTCATTTGCCAGCCTGCTGTGTACTGTATAACTAAATAAAGTACAGACACAGGAATATTAATAATATAATGTGTGAATTTTCATTCTATTACTGGATCTTATATAACATCTGTCTGGAATTGTATAACAGCATTAAATAAATGCTACACCTCTCAAGTGAGATGAGTAGCTTTAAAGAAAAAAAGAAAACTACAAGGAAGTTGCCTGTTTAACATTGGTGCTCTCTGTGTTTGATTGTTTGCTCACAGTCATTTTATTACCCGTAATTATCAAAGGAAACAATAAAAAGCTAAGAAGGAAACGAAAAGGCCAGAACACATCCTCTCCAGCAATCAACACCCAGATAAGCAAGGATGAATACCAGACAAACAATTAAATAGAAAACAATATCTTAATCGAGGAACTAACACATCCTCTCCCTCTCTTATATCAGCAAGGCAAGGTACTGTTTAAATAGGGAGTAAACCCACATTCACTAGCACTGATGATGTTACCTAGTTGAGTAATGAAATGTCTGCAAGCAAACAACAAACAAACTGCCTCCAGAAGTTGTGAATCCTCCAACTCTGGAAGTTTTTTTCCAAAAAGATATTGGACAACCATTTGTCTGAAATGGTATAAAGTTTCCTGCCTGAGCAGGGAGTTGGATTAGAAGACCTCCAATGTCCTTCCCTTCTCCTTCTCCTTCTCCTTCTCCTCCGCTTCTCTTCTCTCCTCCTTTTCTCTTCTCTCCTTCCCCCTCCCCTCTCCTATCCTCTTCCCTTCCCTTCCCTTCACCTATCCTCTCTTCCCCTGTTCTGTTCCACTCCACTCCACTCCATTCTATTCTATATACTCTATTTTACTGGAGCTCTTTAATATAGCACAAACAATAGCATTATTCAAGCTCAAGCAAGGTCAACCACCATATTATCACTAGCTCTTGTATAGACTCCCATCTAAGTATGTACTAACTAATCAAATCCTTCTAAACATTTGAGAAGGAACAAGCCCAGCAAGATGCTGTCACTTTGGAAACAGTTACTAATAGCCCATGTATGTAGACTTCTCAGTAAAATGTATTTCACGCAGACAACTTTGCACTCATCAGCTAAGAACTGATCGATGGTGGTCTGGTCTTGTGAAATATGAATAGTCACGACAGATTCATCTAAGCTTGATACTTTGCACTTACCCGGATCTGCTGTGTCAATAATTTTCTAGCCTCAGCACAACTGTCTAAAAATGGATTTTAAAAACTCAAAGTGCAATTCTTAAGAAAGGGGCTAGGGATGGGGATAAACTATTATACAGGCAGAAACAAGAACCAACACTTTGATTGAATGATCAGGCGTATTTCGAACACTTGCTTTCCATCACATTGACATACGGCTCTCCTTTATGTGTGTAAATATTTCAATACATTAGCTTGCTTGCGAAAGAGGACAACAGGTTTCAATAAAACTCACGGAGTTCTAGATAATGTAGTTTTCCACAATTCTGGAATCTTCACAGGTGTCCACATAACTCATGCATGGCAATTGTGCAAAGGCTATGGCTTATGTGCTATCTACAGAAGTTGCAATGGAATTTTGTAATAGTAGCATCTGTACTATGACATCATCACAAGAGAGTTGTTATTTAAGGCATCTTCCCAGTTGGCCCAGGTTCCATTGACTCTNAAGGTCAGTGCCTCTCAATGCTGCCCACTTTAAAATATGTGGATTTCAACTCCCAGAATTCCCTAGCCTCCCTCCATTTGTGCCTGCAGGTGTGCGTGTGCCCACAGCTTGCAGAAATGGAGCTTCACGTGCAAGTGTGCATATGCGCCGTTCACCCAAGTGGAACTTCATGCACATGCTCATCCACTGCTTGTCCAGCCCAGTTCCAAATGGGTCATGACCCAGTAGTCAGTCACATACTGGGGATTGTGGTCCCCTTGCCGATACCAACTTTGCAAAGGCTTTTCCAGAGTTTCATTTTAAACAGCCAGGCTTACTCTCCCCCCCGCCCACACACACCCTCCTTTTTTTTGTTTTTCCTTTACAGTTTTTAAAACTTATCCTATATAGATCAACTTTTTGTTGTGTTTTCCAGGCTACTGCTATTTTAGTCCTTGCATCGATTTTGATATTTTGTATCTGAGAATGCATGTCTGGATTTTAATTATTTGACCTTGTTACTATTGATTACTAACAGTACTAGCAGTTTCATAGTAGATATACCGTATTTTTTAGACTATAAGACACATTGGAGTATAAGACGCACCAAGATTTTGAAGAGGTAAATTAAAAGAACGTTTTTGCACTCTGCAGGCCTCCCAAACCCTCTTCACCCCCTTTTTTGTGAAAAATGGGGCATGCAAAGAGTTTGAGAGGCCTGCAAAGTGCTCCTAGGGGCTGGGGGCGCAAAAATGAGCAAAAACCCGCCTTTATTCACTCATTTTTGCCCTCCCGGCCCCCAGGAGCACTTTGCAGGCCTCCCAAACCCTCTGCACGTCCATTTTTGTGAAGAGGGCAAGGTTTTGGCAGTCCAAAAATGCTGTATTCAGTGTATAAGATGCACCCAGATTTTCACCCTCTTTTTTTGGGGAAAAAGGTATGTCTTATACTCCAAAAAATACGGTACATTCCATGTAACTGAATAGGAAAGGAAAGAGTGAAGTGCAGTTAAAACATCAGATCAAGACTATAAAAACTTAAAAGTTGAATCTCCCCTCTGCCAGGAAGCTCAGTGAGTAGTTGTGGGAATTAAAATAAAGAGAAATGAATGGAGAAGGAAAGGAAGATGAAAGTTAGATTGCACTATTGTATTATTTAATGACGAGATAACATTGCACTGTCATAGGAAAATCCCCAATAGGAAACAAAGACAACAAGCAATAATTCTTACTTTAAGATCAAAGGTTTATTGTTTCTAATAATTTGGAACATAAGAAATGAATAGATATAAAAGATATAATAGCAGTAATATACTTACAATAACAAGCCATTGCAATGGGGTACAATGAAATATAGCAGGTCCTACATGGACTGATATAAATCAAAGGGCTACAAGCTGATCTTGAACCCTATCCTTTATACTTTTCTTCTAACCACATACATGCTTCAGAACTTCACTAACCGTCACTTTCCGTAAACACCTGTTTGTTTCTTTTAGTTCCTCATTTCCATTTTCCTGCATTCTTCCTGTTTTAAACATATCCATATAAGTGCATACTTTGCAAAAACATGTTTCACAGTTAGCAACGGCTCAGCAGGATTACAAATAGTTCTGGTACATTTTGAAACCATCCCAGCGGAAAACTTTGGTTCATATCTCTTTCTTCTGGAGCCTGCTATCATCCATAGGACTAATTGAATCTAATAGATCAATAGGCTATATTTTTTGATTCTCGCAGCACTTAATTGTAGTTAAGATGGCTATGATTTCCTATTATCCTCAGCAAAAATATTTTGTATATTTAATGACAGATCGTCCTCAACTTATAACATTTAGCGACCGTTTGAAGTCACAATAGTATTGAAAAAAATGACTTCCCCCCCACTTAGGACTGTTGCAGCATCTCGTGGTCACATGAGCAAAATTCAGATGCTTGGCAACTGACTCGTATTTATGGCATTTGCCTCATCCTGGGGTCATGTGATCCCTTTTTGTGACCTTCTGAGAAGCAAGGGTAATGGGCAAGCTGGATTTACATAACTATTGAGTTACTAACTTAACAAACACAGTGATTCACTTAACCATTGTGTCAAGAAAGGTTGTAAAATGGGGCAAAATTCACTTAGCAACTGTCTCACTTAGCAAACTGAAATTTTGGCCTCAACTTTGGTCATAAGTGGAGGACTACTTCAATACGTTTTATAAGTCTTCAGTGATGTCTATTTTGAACCATTTCTACTCAACCTAACCACTTAATCCATATCTAGCTTTATTTGTTTCCCCCAGCATGGTTACCTCTTCAGAGTAAGCTTCAGAAGATGTGAGAACCAAACAAATGGAACTTATCTTTATTTTTTTAGCTCTTTCTCCTTTTGTCTTTTCTTCTGAACAAGCTGGGAGATAAGAGAAAGAGGTATTTGCTGTTAACGTAAACTCAGATAAAAAAACAGAACTACCTTCCATTTTAAAAATCTGCTCCTTCAAATCTAGAAGGAAGAATACAGGGAACAAGGGGTAAGAGAAGGAAACAATTTGAATTGTAATGAAATGGTAACCAACCAGAAAGATTCATTTGTATATTGGTTTCTCTGACTCTGAGGCATTTACAGCACATTGCCTTGGCTGTAATAGGTTCCAGCTTTTAAAACGGTCACCAATAAGATTTGAAGTGCTCAGAACTGCAATTAACCTAATTATACAGTATTATACTAGATTCTTTAGGGACATCCATGAGCTAATGGGATTATGTTTTGAAGAAAAGGAAAGAAAAGGAAAGCAAAGGAAAGCAAAGGAAAGCAAAGAAAAGGAAGGGGAAGGAGAAGGGGAAGGGAGGAAGGAAGATAGGAAAAAGAAAGAAAGAGGAGAGAAAGAAAGAGAGACAGAGAGAAAAGAAAGAAAGGAAGGAAGGAAGGAAGGAAGGGGAAGTGATGAGAAGGGAAAGGAAAAGAATAAGAAAAAGGGAAGAGAAGAGAAGGGGAAGGGAGTTCTCACACAACAGGTTCAACTCAGAGGAAAACTAGTTGTTAGTTCCAGCCTTATTTTACAGCAACTAGAATTTTGTTCCATATTCCCTATAATACAGGAAACCATTCTGCTATTCTAACTCTTTGAAGATGCTCTTCACGAGATAACCACCAACTCCACAGAGGACTAGAGTAATTCGAAGTCATTTTTAATTCAAGTGAAGTGGGGTGGATGGCTTTAAGTGGCCCTGTTCCTAATTCCATAAAGCTCTGCTTTTGATGTAAAATCCAGGAATTTTTGCTGGATTCCAAAAAACCAAAAGCAATAATAACAACACCAAAAACACAAAACCAAGTGAACACCCCTTGACTTTTTTTGTTACTTGCTCTCATCAAACGCTGGACAGTGCTCCATTGTATTTTTAGTCCATCTGTAAAACAATCAAATCATGAGCATTTTTGAAAAGTATAGTGAGGATTTAAAGGTGCATACTTGGAAGCTCCTTGAATTGATTTCTAGAAAAATTAGCACATTTTATTTTTTTTTTTTTTTTTACAGCGGTCTTCCCTTCTTGTAGATTTTGTCATGTTCTGGTGAAAAAGGAGAACAAGATATAGCACTTTAAAGTGCAGATTTTAAAGGCATATAATTCAAAGATCTTTGCGATAATTGCTGTGAAAGTTCTATGCTTCATCCAGTTTGATCTTCTAACTTTACTGGAAATTTCATCCCATTGGCTCAAACAAGAAGTTATAGGGGGTTGAGTGGCTATGTTTTTTCCGTGCCAGAAAATGTCACAAATTTATTCCCCCCCACCCTCAGATAATATTCTTGAATCAAGAGAGGCTACTTCTCAAAGTCACACAAAGAGGTTTAAGTTACTTCTAGCCTTTAAAAGGCTGGCTGTAAAGTGGATTTTACAGTCCCTGCACACTCCAAGTAGATATGAATAGCACCGTCCTCTATTAATTCATCTAATCCTCTTTTTAAAATGATCCAAGGTGTTAGCCCTCCACATATCATTGTTCATACACTTAGGAAAGTCTTGTCTGACTTTTGACTATCCCAGTCTTCGGATTAATTTAATAACTTTTGCATCAACCAGCTCTCACTTCAGTCCATTTCATTGATGCAATTTGTCTTTTGCTCAGCTTACCTATCTGATTTTTTAAAAAATAAAAAATTTGGATTTGATAGTTTTTACCTCTCTTTGCAGGGATGTGTCCCGGCAGGCCCTACTCCTGGTTCATTTGTTGGTGTGCTGCGGGCGCACTTGATGCATGCTATGTGTGCATGTGCAGTGCAATAGAAATTGTTCTGCACATGTGCAGAAGCGAAAAACAAGATGGTGGTGCCTATGGCACCACCTGGAGAACCAGTTTGGGGGCATAGCAGGCCTAGGTAGCTGCCGGTTCCAGCGACCCAGGCCACCAAACCACTATCGGTTCGGTCAAACTAGTCCAAACCGGTTGGAACCCACCACTGTTCCTTTGGTGCCCTTGAATGAAATGATGAATTACAAAATGGTACAAGTTGCAAGCAATCAAATGCCAAGGAAATAATTTCTGCCCTGATGCCCTCTTCAGGATGCCTGGAGTCGATGCTCTTGAGAACAGGTGATGTCTGAAGAAGAAAATGTTTCAATTCTGCCTGAGTGGGGAAACAATTTGAACTCGTCTTCCCAAGCAGAGAGTTGTATCTTATTGTAAGAACGGCACACATTGTATGCATGGATGGGTTTAGGAACAATGACAATTAGAACATGAGCATGTTCAAATGGAGGATCCGTATTTCTGTGCAGTCAAACTTGAGAGAGACTTGCAAAAAGTCCGGTGGGAACTAAAAATACCAAGCTTGCATTCCTAAGTCGGTCTCCACTTGAAGAGATTGGGCTGTAACGCCATGGAGTAAACATGAAATTCTTGTTAAACATGAATAAAATGATGTTCTTGCAGTAATGTCATAAAATGAACCTCCTCTGCATCCAGCATACAAACTCAGAACAAATGGAAAATTTAGCCACAGTCAGATAGGTTTTTTTTTTTNATGTACATGTACATGTACATGTATGTATATGTACGTATGTACTTACGTACGTATGTACGTACGTAATGTATGTATGTGTGTGTAGGTACGTAGGAAGTACACACACACACATACATACACACAAACACACACAAAATCACACTGGTAACAATCGTAATGCTATAACAGAGTAATTTTAGCTAAATTTCTCTTTATATAGGCTTATTTATACTTCTGATGGTTAGATTCACATATTTATACTTATGAATCATTTATATTTAATTCATACATAGCAATGATCTTTCTTCCTCTAAATTCTATCTCTTTTCTCTAACCGCTCATAAAATCTGTTCCATATCAAATAATATTCTGTGTCCTCTTTATCTTTTATTTTTAAAGTCAGTCTGTCCATTTTGGCACAACCTAAAATTTTCCGAATTATATCCTGGGGTGTTCTCGTTTTTCCAATATTTCGCAAATACTATCCTTGCTGCTGTCAATACATGAAAAAATAGACAGGTGGTCCCTTTGTCATAAGCCTCTGGCTTTATGCCCGACAGAAATGTTTCTGGTTTCAGGTCAATACATTATTTAATCCGTCTTTCCCAACCATGTGTGGATTTTCCTCCAACTGCTGAAGGCAAGTTGGTTCCACTGGTTAATTGTTCTCACTGTCAGGAAATTTCTCCTTAGTTCTAGGTTGCCTCTCTCCTTGGTTAGTTTCCATCCCTTGGTGCCTTAATCACTAGACCGGTGATGTCAAACCTATGGCACACGTGCCACAGGTGGCACACGGAACCCTCTCTGCAACATGTGAGCTGTCAACCCATCTCAGGTCCACCGCGCATGTGCATACATCTCCTGCCGACCAGCTGATTTTTGGGTCTCTGCTGCACATGCGCGGGGGCAGGGTGCATGGGGGAGATGTGTGTGCATGCACAGGAGGTCACGGGGGTAATGCTTGGTCCCAGGAGGCTTCAGAGAGGCCTGCTAGGCCAAAAATGGGCTGCAGGTATGTGTGGCGCCCTTCCATGGCCCGTTTTTGGTCCCAGGAGGCTTCAGGGAGGCCTGCTAGGCCCAAAATAGGGGGTGTGGGGGGGTCATGTGCATGCTTGGGGAGCATGGGGAGGGTTGAATGTTCATGCCCAGGGGACAGGTTGCATGGTGGGGGGTGTTGTCACACACGTGTTACATTATGGGTATGGGCATGCATGCACATGTTCTCATTCTCGTTCTCTCTCTCTCTCTCTCTCTCTTTCTTTCTCTCTCTCTCTCTCTTGGCACATGACAACAAAAAGGTTAGCCATCACTGCACCAGACCATGAAGCCCACATGGACTAAAAAAAAAAACAACCCAGCATTAGGGGTACATGAAAGACTGCAATATGTGCAGGACATAATGTGGGGGGGGAGGGGCTGGCAGTAGACATTTGCAGGATGTGTTGCCAGTTATGCTCCATGAGCACCAAGCACCATTTAGATGTTAAATGTGCAGCACTGTGATTAATGCATTTGATATAAGTAGATGGGGA